GGGCTGGCGTGGGGGGTCTCACTACGCCCGGGGGCTGGCGTGGGGGGTCTCACTACGCCCGGGGGCTGGCGTGGGGGGTCTCACTACGCCCGGGGGCTGGCGTGGGGGGTCTCACTACGCCCGGGGGCTGGCGTGGGGGGTCTCACTACGCCCGGGGGCTGGCGTGGGGGTCTCACTACACCTGGGGGCTGGCGCGTGGGTCTCACTACGCCCGGGGGCTGGCGCGTGGGTCTCACTACACCCGGAGGCCTTGCAGATATAGACCCTTAGCCCCTCTATGAAATGCCGGGGCGGGGACAAGGAGGGGCACTGCTCACTGGTCTCCAGTGAATCTTTGCCCAAATCTCAAAGGCTTCGCAAGGTCACACACAGGCCCTGAGACGCTCAGGACTGACCCAGCCATGGTGCTGCGTGATGGCTCAGGAATGGGGTGCACGGGCAAAGCTGGGGCTGCGAGGCGGGCTCCAGTGCTGGATGAGCAGGGGGTGCTGCAAACAGGGGGTGAGCTGGGGCTCTGTTCTTACTCAGGGAATGGAGGGAGTTTGCTTGAGTAAAACCTCAGCAAATGTTCAGTGGTGGGCTTTTAGTTTTGCAGGCAGGGCTTAAATTCAGCCAGAGCTGTCTGGAGCGGATCTGCGGTAAATATTCAGCCCTGCTGTAAGCAGGCTCAGTTCCCACTGGCTGTCCCCACTTGGGCCTGGGTCGCGGGTGGTCCGATGAGCTAGGAGGTGAGGTAACGTGGGGGGATTCATGCCCGGAGATCTCCCGGAGCTGGGGCCAGCCCAGCCAGCTCACCTTGATGTAATCGTAGGGGCAGGACACCTCCGGGTGGTCCTCGATGTCGAAGCTGTCTTCGAACTGCAGGCTGATGAGGAAACCTTCCTCCAGCTCGATGCGGTACAGGCAGTCGGAGCTCTTGGGATAGGGGCTGGGGAAGTCAGCGCTGGTGATCACCCCGCTCCTCTGGGTGAAGAGGTTGCTGCTGCACTCCACTGAAAGGCACACGGGAACCCTGAGCAACCGGCCTCTCTGGGCTAGACCCTTGGTCCCGGATGGAGCCCAGGGCTCAAATCCGGTCTGCTGCCCCATAGAGCAGCTGATGCTCCTGTGGACCCCGTGTTGTCTCCTAGTCCTAGACCTGGGCAATCTCCCCTCAGAATACCTTGACCTAACCTCGCTGACAGAGCAACTCCGGCCCGGATCCTGATCTCACGCCCACCCGGGCCCATCAGGAGTGGTGCCACCGAGGCCAATGGAGTTACGCTGGTGCGAGCCAGAGGGGAATCGGGCCCATCGCTGCTGAGAGGAAGTGCTCTGCGCATCCCGAGCACAAGTGCTGGGCGCAGGGGAGATCCACTGGGATCCATGGAAGGACATTTCCATCCCCAGGCTGCTCTGCTGTCACAGCCCCCATCGCTGCTCCAACCCTCACGCACTCCCAGGGAGGTTGGCTGGTGGCTCTGCGTCATCGTGGAGCCACTGGCCCTTCCCTGCCGTAACCCCCGCAGGCTGCTCGGGGGCAGGGAGCCCCCTTACAGGTGTGCTCCAAACAAGCGTGTTGAGACCCTCGTGAACAGCGGAGCTCGGCGCGGTCGCAGGAATCTGCACCGGCCAGTCCTGATGCACGATCAAGGCCGAAGATAATGCCTTCTGGGTCCAAGGTCAGTCTTTTCTTTGGTGTCGCGCATGCCAAGAGCAGAGGTGAACCGGCCACGCTGGCCGACCACACCCACTCGGGCACGCCGAGCAGAGAGCGCACGGCCAGCGTGCTCCCCAAGTCCCAGGGAAAGAAGACACAGGCAAGGGAGGGCAGATTTGCCATAAGGGCCCAGCGTGGCAGAGCGCGCGGCATGAGCTGTCCCAGCTGCCCGATGTGCAGAGCCCGGAGCCGGGCCGTACCTTTGCAGGTCCTGTTGTCGGAGTGCAGGATGTAGCCAAATCGGCAGGAGCAGTAGTACCCCCCGATGTAATTGTGGCAGTTGTGGTCGCAGGCCAGCTCCTCGTCGCTCTTTTCCAGGCACTCGTCCACATCTGCAGGGGAGCGAGAGGAGAGCGGGGCGTTAGAAAGGCAGGCACCAAGACGGGCGCCCCCCCCCCCCCCCCCCCCCCCCCCCCCCCCCCGGCACTGCTCCCAAGGGGGCGTTTAGACACAGGCAACGAGGAGGAGCTAGAATGCACTCGGACCAGATGGCGACGAGGTTTCGGACCAGATTTCATGGCTCGTCTGTAATGGGCTGAAGCAATAGCCCACATCTGACCATCCCACGATGGGTGAACACGGGGCTGACTGGTGTGAGAAAAGGAGGCGCCAGCCCGCCCTGGCAATCGGCACACCTGCCCCACCGCGTAGGGGTGATCCTACAGCCTTACACAGTCAACCGTCCCGCCGAAAGTGAGTGTTTTGTTTGTAACCGCAACGCACTGTCTATCAATGGCGTGCCCCCGCAGGGCAGGAATTCGACGGCTGGGACCGGGGCCCTAGGGCTGTGTGTGCATGTGTGTTACAAGGGGTCATGCTTAGGCTGTTCCCTCTGTCTCCCAGACCTCTGATCACTGTGTGTTGCCTTCTAAACACTTCGGGCCAGATTCTGCTCTCAGCTCCATCGGCATAATTCGGGAGTAACTGCATGATGTCACCCGGGTGTAAGAGTCTCTCAAAGCAGCCATAAATAGTAGATGGAACAATTTCCTTTAAAAGTTCTCTCCACATCACCAAAATGGCAGCTGATATGCAAGGGTGGATTAAGGGGTCTGAAGCCTGGTCCCCAAAATTGAGGGCTGAGGGTAGGATAATCTCACTGGGGATTCCTTAGAGTATGAGAGGGAAAGGTGATGCTGGGCCAGTCTTGGAGCGCAGGAGCTGGGCTGGTATATCAGCCTGAAGCCCCGATTCCCAGAATCTGGGGGCACTTTGGGGAGCGACAGACACCGACCTGACAATCTGTTACTCTGTAGCAACCTGCCTGGAACTTGGAGGGAAGAGTAGAGGTTGCAGAGGGGGAAGACTTAGGAAGAGGCACCAGCAAGTCAGTCTGTGTGCACGTGGCTGGAATGCTAGCTGCAGTTGGAGCATCTCTGTAAATAGTTTTCCTAATAAAGAACCAGTTTAGGTTTAGAAACATGGAGTCCTCTCGGGTTATTACCCAGCCCATGGTGCACGCAACAGACTTTGCCGCTGCAGGGGTCAAGACTAAATCAGAAGAGGATAAAGAAGAGAGAATGATGGAGAGCCAGGGGCTCTGCAAAGGGGCTACTTACCCACTGCTGTGTAATGGGCATCAAAGCCAGTGAAGCGCTCCTCATTGGAGAAGTCAGATCTGAACGTGAGGCCCATGTAAGGACCCGGAGACAAGACCACCTGTTGCCCAGGGGCCTGCTCCGTGTCTGTAGTCTCCCTGCCACAGAAAGTTGCCAAGACTTGGTCTTCAGCATCAACCTATTAAAAGCCAAAGAAAGACTCCGTTAACACAAGCCATGGCTGGAGACTCACCAGTCTGCTCAGCTGAGGCAGCCAGCATGGTGCACGGTATTCACAGCTGACACTCTACTCCTAGGAAAGGGCTCAGGCCACCAAAGGCATCAACGAGGAGACTGACTTGGTGTGGAAGAGTGAGGTCTCTAGTCAATCCTGTATCAGGGCAAGTTAGATTTCTTCCTAAACCACCCATTTAATAGACACTAAGACCCGAAGGGCCCACCATGATCAGCCAGTGAGACCCCTCCCTACACAGCACAAGCCACAGGACTTCACCCAGTAATGTCTGTAGCGAAGGGAATTTTTCTCCCCGGCTGGATAAGTAAACACCACTGAACCCAATAACTTGCAGTTGAACATTGAGAAAGGCGTCTCCAACTGATGAAGAACAGATGAGCTTTGAAGCACTCCAAAGCTGGCATCTTTGCAACTGCTCTTGGTAGCTTGCCCCATTGCCCAGGCCCATCCTGCAGCTACATAAAGTCCCCCTTCCTATTGAACTCACATTCTGTTTGCCGCAGCTTAGGCGGAGAGTCAAGCGCCATCTATCATGTGACCACTTGAAATGGTTCAGCAGGTTGTCTTAATTAACAGTGCTTAAGAACAGCCGAGGAGTGACTCTCTCATGAGGTATGAAAAAATAGTTTCCATAGGGTTATTATTTTTCTTTTAATTAAAAAAGATAGATCTACATTTTAGAGGATAAAGAGCTAGCGAGACATGTCAGATCGACACTGCTGGAGACTGAAGCTCCCTCTTTATCTGCACAGTGTCTGGATGAACTTCCACTCACCCCCAACCCTGCTAGTGTACCAGGGAACAGAGAGAGAGAGAGAGCCCACTCCTCATGATCCATTTGATTCTAACCTCTCTGCTGAGCCTGACAACAGGATGCCGCTTACAGATTTATGCTGGAGGCAGACAGAGAAACCAACAACTCTTTTCTCGACGGCTGCCAAAGGGCCGCCAGATTTACATCCCTGAAGACTGAAGTCTTCTGCTTAACCACCTACCAGGCCCTGTGCTGGCAAGGATACTGCAGACTTCCCTCACATACTGTCCATCCCAGCGAGCTCACGGCTATGCATCTTTCATGACATCGTTGCAGCAAAAGCCAGTTGCCTGCGGTTAAGAAGCAGCTTCCTCTTGGTGAGGTTGTTCTATCGGTGTCCCTTATGGATGTTTGAAACCTCAGCTGGCACTGGCCATTCTCACGGACAGCATTAGCTGGGCCATTGATCTGATGCAATGTGGTAATTCCTCTGTCCCTAAGACGCAACATCGAAGTGACATAACGCAACATTAGCTTGACATACACATGCAGGGTCAGGGACACTGCTGTGTGTTCTATTCCCGGACAGAAATCAGGGGTTATTTCTGTGTCTTCCAAGCGAAAGCTTCTCTCTCTCTCTCACCCGCAGCAGTTGGCCTGCTAAAGATATTACCTCACCCACCTGGTCAGGCAGAGGGAGACATCCAAAAGACCTGGTAATATCAGCTACACATAACAGAGAAAAGGGGAGGTGAGTCTGCTTTGGGAGAGGGGGGAATCAGGGAGGAGGAGAGAATGTGAAGGTTAGAGCCAAGGTGTGCAATTTATATTCACAGCTGTTCGCCTCTGGAAGGATCCCCCCACCCATCTCCTGCCTATATGCTGATCAGCTCCACAGGCACCGCTTAATCCTTCTCTGCGCTTACTGGGAGCCTCTTCAGAACCCCAGGAGAATGCCAGGCAGAGTAACAGGGCGACAAAGGGCGCTCCAATCAGCAAATTCAAGGGAGGACATCAAGGAGAGGGAGGCCCAGCGTTTAGATTTTGTTAAAAAGAAACAAACCAACCCAAAGATTTCCACAGGCTTATTTTTAAAAATTGAATTGAGAAGTGTTTGGAGTGTTGTTGGGATGTATGCTCCCCTGCAGTGTTGGAGACCCAAACCCAACCGATTTTGTCTTGTGAACCAGATCCAGAAAGTGAAACTGACTAGGAACCAAAGTGAAATTGACCAGCCTAGTTTTAGTGTCTCAGCTGAGCAAAGTGCCATAAGTAATTGAACTGCATCAGGAGCCTGTGGAATTGCATTCAGTTTTAATATCCGAAAGAGCGATTAGGAACAGGGGCAGGGAGATTTTTTTAAATAAGCAGATGGGACCAAGTACCGCCCCACCCCAGCCCAGTCTCCAAACTTTCTCCTCTGAATTTGCATGCCTGTGTTTTTGCATGCTAGCCTCCTGGGGCCTATGTGGTACACACAGAGATTATAAGAACCGTCAGCAGTAGGACAATTCCATTTCACAACTATTCCTGAGGTTTCAAAATTTGTTTTCGTTACGCATCAGAACAAAACCAAAACCCTTTGAACTTTTTTCACGAAATGGAATTGTGTCCAAATGGCACTCGCCCCCTCTCTCTCTGCTCAGAAATAACCCGAGAGCATCAGACCTCAAAACAATTCTGATGAAAACGTCATTGGAACTGATATGTCTCTCCAAAACATTTCGGCTTCGATGAAACAGCCTATTTCAGTGAAATTTCATTTAGCTGAATATATTTCATATATAAGTGATTATTACGATTATTATTTATTCATAGCATGGTTGCACGTAGGCACCCCAGTCCTTGACCAGGACCCCACTGTGCAAGGCGCTGTACAAACACAGAACAGAAATGACCCGCCCTGCCCCGCAGAGCTGACAGCCTAAGTATACCGATGGATACAGGCAGAGAGAGGTGACCAAAGCCACAGTGCGACAATATTGGTCAACGTCAGAGAGAGTCATCTCAGTCCACCAGCCGCCTAACCGCTGAGAGGTTTTTTGTAGGCGTTGTGGCAAAGGAGAGATGACTCTTGTGTTCTGCTCTAGCTCTGCCTCTGGCCTCGGGTAAATTGCTCTGTAGCTCTTCGTTCCCCTGTATAAAATGGAGCTAATTCCTGACTCCTAGTGGGACGGGGAGGCTAAATTCATTGACGTTTGGTAAAGGCACTGGGGTCAAGTTTTCTAACACATCTGAAGTGACGTCTGGTTCCCAAGTTCAAAAGGCTTCAATGCCCCAGTCCCACTGAAAGTCCTGCAGGTCGCTTTTGAAAATGGAACTTTGGATGCTTTGGAAAACGTTCCTCTTTGTGATCTCTCCACGGAAGGGGGACAAATGAATCATGTTAAATGACTGTCAGCCCCGGATTTCAGTAGGCCGGTATTGTTTAATTACCCATCGGAATAAGCTCTCATACGCCTTTGCTGGAGTTCACTGGCGCTGGAGGTACAATTTCCATCCTGGGCAGACATACCCGTGTGAGCGCCGACGGAGCCGGTGCACAGGCTGCGGGAGGGGCTAGCCACCCTGAGTACGCCCCTAGGATCTTGGCTGGGGTGGCTGCCCATGCAGATCACAGGTACACTGCTATTTGTAGCATGCTGGCTCCATCAGGCCGGTGGGAGTACGCGTACCCATGCTGGGAATGACGCTGCCAGACCCTCAGTGAAAACCAGCGGGTGTGCAGATTGCCTGCTGTACCGAGCAGAGAGAGACCCCAGATGAACGCTGCTGCGGTAAACCCATCTGGGCCCGCTGCTGTGGTTTTCTGTTGTCAGCTTGTCCTCTCCCTTGGCTCCTAGCTCCATGCTGGCCTGTGCATTGTAACCCCTTCCAGCTGCTGTTCGCAGCACCCTGCCTGCATTCCTATGAGGAGATTTGAATAGGAAGAGCCCCCCTGCTTCCTCTCACTGGGGGACGGCGGGGGGGGGGAGGAATGTTGCTTTCCCAGCTCATGCCAGCACTGCTCCCTTTCATGCCAAGTGAATTCTATTAAGGGGAGGACTAAAGAAGCCATCCCCCATTGCCCAGAGGATGGATCAGCACTGAGGCTGCCCTGATCTTCCCATTTCCCTCCCTCCGGAGGATTGTCTGGTGTCGGGGTTTGGAATGGCTGCTCCCCGTGCCCCACAGAGGAGAGGGCTCTGCATGCTGGTGGGTTTGGACGATCTGGCCTGTCCTGGGAATGTGAGGATGGGCGGCCAAGCGACTGAGCTCCTGTTTCTGTCGGGATACGGACAGGGGTGGGTGTGACACGAGGGGCCCCCGCCAACCAAATGAAGAGGTCTGAGAGTGCGACAGGTGTGAGAGAGAGGCAAGTGAGTGTGCGAGGAGTGTGTGCGTGCGAGGAAGGGGAATGGGTGTGTGCGGCGATTGTGTGTGTGTGTTTGCAGAAGTCAGGGGAATGGGTGTGGGGGGGGTTGTGAGTTGGACAGGGCTGTGTTTGTACGAGTGAGGCGTGTGTGTGTGGAAACTGTGAGCGTGACAGGCAGGAGGTTTCAAGATGTTCCTAACGCTTTCGCCAGCATGCAGAGCTGCAAATTCTTTCCTTAGTGCCAGGCCTGCAACCCAGCGCCCGGGGGAGGTGCCAGGCTCAGAGCGGGGGCTGGGTGGCAAGCTTGGCGTGGCATCCATTCCCCCGACATCTCTGCCTGGCCATTTCTGTTGCCTCAAGGCAGCAGCAGCCCTGGGCACTCGTGCCGTCCCCCTTCCTGGGCTGGAGGATTTCACTGTGCTGCTCCCCTGGCCCCAGCCCCACTGCTTTGAGCCCATGCCTAGCTCCTCCCCTCCAAACCCTGGGGTGCAGGGAGCCCCTGTGGGTCCCTGGCTCTTGGCTCACCGGGGACATAGGGCCCACCCTTTCTGCCTTGCACTGGCCCACAGAGACAGGGGGCAGCATTTGGACCGTGACAGTTTTAGATTTCGCATTAAATGAAGGACAGATATGTAAAGGTGGAGCCGATCTACAACCCTGGCTAGATTTAACCTAGACTCCAGGCCCCGACTCCACGCTCGCAGCACCAGGGCATACATCATCTCACGTTACTGTGAGCACTTCTCTGCTGGCCTCGGTGTCCGACTGATCCAGTGCAAACGCCAGCTGCAGACAGGCCCGCCGCACAAAGCAGAAAGCCATCTGCATGCAGTA